AGGCCTAATAGCGCCCGGGCCCTTCCCCCCCCGCCGCCCCTCCGCCACCGGGGCCAATAGCGCCCGGGCCGCTCCCCCCAGGCCTAATAGCGCCCGGGCCCTTCCCCCCCCGCCGCCCCTCCGCCACCGGGGCCAATAGCGCCCGGGCCGCTCCCCCCAGGCCTAATAGCGCCCGGGCCCTTCCCTCCCCGCCGCCCCTCCCCAGCCGCCCCTTCCCCATCGGGCCCAATAACGCCCGGGCCCCTCCCTCCCCGCCGCCCCTTCCCCACCGGGGGCCAATACTGCCCGGGCCCCTCCCTCCCTGCCGCCTCTCCCCCACTGGGGCCAATACTGCCCTGGCCCCTCCCCCACTGCCCCACCCGGGCAAATACCCATGGGCCCCCTCCTCCACCCGGGCCCCGCCCCCAGCAAATACCCCCCGGGGTCTTGGGCAAATATCCCCAGGTCCCTCCCCCACCTGGGCAAATGCCCCCTTTTGCCTTTTCTGTGGAGGTAAATACCGTCAGGTACATACAGCCTCCATCTCCGGGTGAATAGTCTCCTCCCCAGCCTGGGTAAATACTCTCTGGTTCTATCCATCCCCTTCCCCATGGGCCTTTCCTCCCCCTTGTATACACTCCCCGGGGTCCGTCACCCCTCTGCCTCCTGCCTGTGTACATCCCCCTCCACCGCCCATCCGGGTCCCTGCCACGTACCCCCCAGGTCAGTACCCCGGGGGCTTGTGAGGGGCAGGTTTTCCCTCCACCCCTGTGAAGCAGTTCCTGGACTGTGGTAGTTCCCCCCCCCCCCACACACACACACATTGCCTGGGTACCTACCCCCCTGGCAACAGGGGCTGGGGGCCATGGGGCAGGAGGACGACAAACTCTTCCTCTTTCCCCATTCCCAAGGAGCAATTCCTGGACTGGAATAAATCGCCCCCCCCCCCCCCCGCTCCCCTCCCTGGGGGAGGCAGGGGAGGGGATCCATGGGGCAGGTTGGAGGCAGGGCTGCCTTCTCCCTGCTCTGTTGGTAGTATGTCCTGAGCTCGGGACATTGCCTTTCCCCTCCCCTTGGGGGCACGGCGCTGGGCAGATCAGGGGCTCCCTGCTGTCCATGTTCACTAACAACCCGCTGGGGCAGGAGGGTCGCAGTGGGGCCGGCTTTGCCTATTCTCTTTGTGGACTAGTCCCTGGGTAAATGCCCCCGGGGACAGAAAGGAAGTCATTGGGGTGGGAGCGGGGAGCAGCTTTCTAGAGCAGTTCAGGGATTTTGGAGCGATCCCCTGCTCTCAGGGCTTAGGGGCAATCTGGCTATGGGGCAGTGGTGCTGTGGGGGGCGGTGATGGGGTTGGGGGCATAGTAGAGGCCTGACCAAGGGTCTGAATTCCTGAGGGGCTCAGACGGGGTGGCATGGGCTTAACACAGTGGCTAAGTGGTCCCTTCTTGTGGCTGGCGGGCTGATTTGCCCCTCTAGCTCAGTGGGTCGGGGGGGGGGGCTAGGAAAGGGCTAGAAGGACTATAGGGCTGAGAGTGGGATATGTGGGGGCGGGGAGCAGAAAAGCTCCTGTTCTCTGGGGAGTGGAGGACGTAGGGGAAACCAGTGGGTAGGGTGGTGCATTAAATCAGTGGAGGGAGAATAGAGAGCAGTTTATTTGGACCCCCCTCTCCCCCTAGGCCATAGCAGGAGCTGTGGGGGGAGGAGAGGATGGCTACTCTTGTCCCTGGATTACTGTAAGGTTTGCTGTCCACTCTTCTAAGGGACAGCTGGGGGAGAGGATGAGAGGTTGGAATACACCCCATCCATCCCCCCCACACCATGTATTCTGCCCTCCCTCTGTGCTCTGGGGAGTCTGACTCTAATACACCCAAACCCTCCAAGGATCTTCCCCCCTGGAAAATCCTGTTTGAAAACAACAGGGTGCTGTCTTGCTTTGGGGTTTGGGATATAGCCCCTCCTTGCTGCTTCCCAGCCCACTAGCTAGAGCAGGGGGCGCCTGGGTTCTGTTCCTGGCCCTCCCTTCCCGGCTCTGAGCCTCAGTTTCCCCCTCAGTCGCTTGGGGGTAGCGAGACCGAGCCACGTCCCGGGGGAGGCTGGGAAGATGGATTCACTGATGTACATGGAGATCCGTGGTCTGAAGGAGATAGGAAAAGGCGAAGAGGTTTATTGCCGTAAACTATTTGAAATGCATCACAGCACCCCCTTCTCTTCCGGCTGTCCTTAGACGTGTGCTGAAAGGGGGAGGGTGCCTGCTCATATCGGATCCAGTGCCCTCTGCCGCGTCCTAGAACCGTTCCAGCCCCCCAGCGCGAGCCGTCCTCTGTGTCCATTTCGTGTGGCTTCTCTTTCCAGAACAAATGACGGGCCTGCCGGTGCTTTCAAAACGCGAGCGAAAGCCTCTGCCGTACCTGGCTGGCTTGCGCTGCGCGGCAACCTGCTGACATGCCTGCTGCTGTGCGTGTGCGCGAACACCCGCGCGTGTGCTTTTCTCTCCCTTCCGCTAGCCACTTGTCTTCCGAACAATCTGTGCCGTTGTTTAGATAGAAACTGCCAGGGGTGTCCGAACGTGCAGTGGCTCGGGTTACATCTGTACATTTGTGTGCGTGTGAGTTAAACACACACACGTACACCCGCCAGTGCTCCCTCCAGAACTGTGCCCTTGTTTACCAGCCTCCCACCTCTTCTCTTCTCCCTGCAGTTACTCTATAGCCCTGCTGTGATCTAATAATCACCCCCTAGTTTTTTTTCCTCCTCCGGACCCTCCTGGAGCATCTTGGCCCGTGTCCCTGTCACCCGGGTGCTTTGGGAGTGCGGGGCGGGGTGGTGTGTTGGTTGCAGAACTTGGAGCTGCTGCCAATAAGGCTGTTAGTTTCCTTTCTGCTGGCCACTGTTGGGAGTTCCCCGGTCATTAAGGCTCCTAGCGTCTGTCTGTCACTCGGTGGCAGGGCCAAGCTCTCCTTAGGCAGCCCGCAATCGTGCTGTGCTTAGGGACACGTCAGAGCTCAGGAACAGGCAAGCGATGCTTCAGGACTGTGTGCGCGCCGAATGCCGCACGTACCACGTGTGCCAGGCTCTGGTCCCTGGGGCTGTGAGGACCCAGCGCTGCAATTTCTGTGGTCCCTGGGGACCCCAGTGCTGAATTCTCTATTGCAGGGTTTGATTCCAGAGAGGGAGCCTGAGAAATGGCTCCTGGACCCGGGGAAGGCAGCCAGTGTGCAGATTACCCACTCCCAACCTGGGGGGGCAGTGACGAAAAATAACCGTACAGGACTCTTTGGAGGCCCCGTGATTGGAGTGATGTGTAGGGATGGAGGGATCCGAGGCACAGAGAGGTTAGGTGACATGCCTGAGGTCACTCTGTGAATCAGTGGCAGAGCCAGACAGAGACGCCAGTCTTTTGCTCAAACCACTAGACAACCCCACCTGCCCTGGCCTTGTGGGTGCATGCCTTCAAAGTGATGGGGGTATTCTCCCCATTTCCCACGCTGGGCAGTAATGGGCTGCAGCCTGGGGTTCGCGTGCGACCTGGCTTCCCTTGTGAGTCTCCTAGCCAGTATCCCCTGCTGGAGCTAGGCAGCTGGAGGAGGTGACTGGTGGAGGGAGCAGCATGGAGGGGTTAAGCAGCAGATGAGAAGGGCTGGTATGCGATTGGGGGTGAAGTGATGGGGACAGCTTTCCTCCCCCTCCCCATCCTGAGAGCTGTGCCCAAGACCCTGATGGAATTCAGCCAGTTGCAAGGGAATGTGGCCTAGTGGTTAGATTGGCTAAAGCTGTACTCAGTGAGGGTCTGAGGTGTAATGTTTATGGATGAGCGTGAGATCCTCTGATGCAAGGGGCTGTGGTGGGGGAAGGGGACAGAGGAACCAGGTAAATGCTCTGGGTGAGCACCTGATCCCTGGGAGTCCAACAGGTGGTCTGATGTACCATCCTGAGCGGATATCGGGGGCAGGACAGGTGGGTGTCTCCTGAAGGGATAGGTGCCTACTTCCCCATCATCAGGCTAGGGGTCACTGAGATCCTGCTCTTCTAATGGTGGGGCTTCTGTCTCTAGGGTCCAGCAATGCCTGCGAGAAAACCTCCTTCACCTTCCTCCGCCAGGAGCTGCCTGTCAGGCTGTCCAACATCATGAAGGAGATCAATCTGCTGCCAGACCGGGTCATCAGCACGCCCTCGGTGCAGCTGGTGCAGAGCTGGTGAGTAGGATGAACTGCCAGTCAAGGGGGTGAGGGCGGGCAGCTAATCTATGTGTATGTGGGGGGCATGGCACGGCTAGCCGGGGGGGGGAGCATGGCACTGCTAGCCTGTTTGTGTAGGGAGACACTGCCAGCCTTTCCATATCCCACCGCACCCACCAACTCTCCTTCTCAGCAAGCCCCTTGCTCGCCTGGTTGGGTTTACATGTAACAGATGCAGGAGGAGAATGAGGATGGCAGCTCAAAGGCCCTGCCAGGCGAGGGCCTCTGGAATGGACATACTGAGTGTGTGGGTGTGAAATGGCACAAGGGGGAGTCAAATCGCAGTGGTAACTGGGGAGGGCTGGGGGCTGAGACAGTTCATACCCAAGAGACCACATCTAGACTAGGGGCCCGTCTACACTTGAAATGCTACTGTGGCATAGTTTGCCACTGTCGCACTTCAGGGTAGGGACTACCAGCGCCAACGGGAGGTTCTCCCATCTGCGTAGGTACTCCGTGTCCCCGACAGGCGGTAGCTAAGCTGATGGAAGAATTCTCCCATCGCCCTAGTACTGTCTACACTGGGGCTTAGGTCGGCTTAACTACGCTGGTCGGGGGTGGGGCTTTTTCACAACCCAGCGGGATGTAGTTAAGCTGACTCAATTTTCTAGTGTCGACCAAGCCTGGGAAAACAGGTTGTGTGTACACTCGTTAGCGACGGCATTTTGACCTCTAGTGTAGACAGGGCTTAACCCCTGTAAAGAACAGCTAGCCGACAGATCATGCTGAGAAACACCTCTTCCTAGACTAGACCTGGGCCAGCAACGGACCAGCTCATTAAATCGCGCCAGGACAATGGAACATCTGAGCGGGATCAGCCCAACACGTAACAGTTGGGGTTTTTTTTTCACTTAACGCTTCGCCCAGCCCTGGGCAGAACCCGTTTGGGTTTCGCTGAGGAGCAAGGAGACTTCCAAAGCGCCCTTGGCTTTCTAGGAATCGGGGGAAGTGCGTGCTCCCTGTTACGCCAGTGGTTGTGGCGCCCCCACCAGGTCATGCTGGGTATTGCAGTTTGTGGGGCAGCGACTGTATTTAACCCTTGAAAGCCCGCCGGCCTGCAGCCCATGCTCGGATTTCTTCTTCCCCCTCGTACTGGTTTGTTGTCATTTCAAAGGCACCAGCTGCTCTAGTCAGGTCCTTATAGGTTTGGGCCTCTGTAGGCCAACAGGAGGGGGAAGAAATGGGAAATGTCCCTTTAAGATCCGCCCCAATACCCGGCCCCTGACTACCAGACAGCAGCAGCCTGAACTTTGTCCTACTTTGGGGCTTCGGGATCACGTGACAGCTTGTTTGTGCAGCCAGCGATTTCCTCTTTCCCCTCCGTGTTCCTGGTTCCTGCTGCATCCGGCAGGGCCAGAGGCTGCCCAGACCAGCTGAATCCCACTCCCCCGGGAGCTGGGGGGGCAGGAGCCCGAGTTAATAGTAACCTGGCCCTTGCCTGCAGCGAGGCTGGAATTTGCCCTCCTGGAAGGTGCATTCCTGCATCAGTGATCCCAAGGAACTGGCCATCAACCCTTTGCTGCCTGCGCCAATGGCGGTGGGGGGGGTGGCTTTTAACCCTGTGCTGCTCCTCGATCCCTTTATTATTAATCTGCCAGGTCTGAGCACCCCAGAGGTTCGAGGGGCTGTGAAGTAAGGGGTGGCTGGTTAAGCTGCCACACGCGATTGTCCCCTGTGGGTGGGTGCGTCTTCAGCCCTCCCATCTGTTCCTTCTTCCCCCACCCCATGTCTGTTTAAGCAGCCCCTCCTCAGAGGGGCCAGGGAGGTCCCCTGGCTGCACCCCTCTCCAGCATGGAGCTCTGCGGTCTTTCACATCTGCTCAGGTGGCTTGACCCGGAGACCCACGGGAGCCCCCATCGCAGCGCCCCTTAGAGCGCTCAGAGGGGTTTGTTGTCGAGCAGCTTCTCCCACTCCTCTAAGCCTCCGAACGCCAATGCCCTTGCAGCCCACCTGCTATTCCAGCCCTGGGCCCTCTACACAGCTTTGCCAGTGCCCTTCCATCCTTCCCGTGTGGCTCCCCTGATGCCCTGGGCTCCCCACGTATGTCCATGCACCTCAGTCCTTTCTTGCAGCCCCCCCTGCTAGTCCAGCCCTAACCTTCCCACACCCAGTTCTGCCAACTTGCTTGAGTGCTACAGGGATATCTAGACTGCTCCAGTACCCTGACTTTCCCACATCCCTTCCGTTCCAGACCAGGCAGGGCCCTCCTGCTACTCCAGTCCTTGCTTCTCTGGCGTAAGCCCCACGCCATGCTGTGCTGCGTGGTAGCTCTGGTGATGGGGTCCGCATGAGCACTCTCCTTCCACCCCTCATCCCCTTGTGACTGGTGGCGGGATCTGCCCCGTCATCTCTGGCGGTGAACCGCTCCTGTACTCCTCCTCCTGCACCCTTGGGATCCCGTGATCAAAACTTCCTGTTCTTTCAGGACCGGTGCCTTTGCAGCTGCTTCCCTGTAACCTACATCCCCAAGCAAATATAACACAGCCCTGGGAAGCCATTCTGTCCCCACGCTGACAGCCAGCCTGCTTAGGAGTTTGCAGCTGTCATGGTGCCCCCTGGAAGGAGCTGTGTGTCTGGAGGGAAACTGACCCAGGGGAGGGGACGGGCTGCTTGCTCGGGGCTCGCCTGGCAGACGTTCCTGATAAGCTGAGGCTGCAGAAGGCAAGGTGCGCTGCATGTCCCAAAGCCTCTGGCAAGGTGCAGGCCTGGGAAGTCGCTGGCCCCCGGCTGGTGCGCTGCTCCTCCTTCGCCCGTTATACTTCCCATCGTGCAAGGCTCTAGGCTAGGCCGGTCTCTCCCGTCCCGCTGTGGGAGGCGGGCTGGGTGACCGTGCTCTAGGGAATGGTAGGCAGCGGTGAACGAGCAGCTCTACCTAGACTGAGCTCCCAGAGATGGACCTCGGGAATCTGCAGTAGCAGGAAGGGAAGGCCTTTGATTCAGTAGCCCAAGCGGCAATGGCTGCAGGTTAAGATCCTGGCAGGTGAAGCTAAGTAGGGTTGGGCTGGATTGGGGTTGGGATGGGAGACCTTTGCAGAAAGCCCAAATGCTCCTAGAAGATGTGGGAGTGGCTCCGTAGGAGGCAGCCTTCCCTGTAATTCAGCGCTAAACCACTGGCTGCTGCATTGCAGGGGGGGGCTGTGTTGCTGCGGATGCCAAGCGGCGATCCTGCCTGTTAGAAATCCCAGAGTGTTCTCCACTTCCAGCCCTAAACTCGTGTGTGTGTGTGTGTGTGTGCGCTGCTGCTGCTTCCCACTCCAGAGCTGGCTGCATTTCAGCAGTGGATGAAGCAATTCCTGTTTGTAAAGTGCTTGTGTCTAGACTCTGTGAATCCTCTCCCCCCCATGGAGGCGGGTAGTGGGGCACTGCTGTCCCACACGGGCTCTCGGGGGCGCCTGCCTGTAGAGGGATGGGGATTGGGGCCACTCTGCGTTGATCCATGCTCCCAACATGTGGCTGTGGAATATAAACGGAGCCTGCATCCCTTTTCCTCCCCACTCCCCCACAGGTACGTTCAGAGCCTGCTGGACATCATGGAGTTCCTGGACAAAGACCCCGAGGACCAAGGCACCCTGGGACAGTAAGTTGGGTGTGGGCTGACTGGGAGGAGGGACCCTTCAGTCACCT